ATATATATATATATATATATATAATGCTCGGTTCTGCCGAGTTGTCGAGCGGTTCAACTTCAACTAGTCAAGTCGCATCACAAAGTAGGAAAGCAGGGAATGGAGGATAAACGGAAAAAAGCCGAGCCTGGAATCATAAATGAAAACAAATGCAAAACAGGTGAGGCTGTTGAAGAAAGCTCCAAGAAAATCATGAGAAAGCAATCGACGAGTGTACCGGAACCAGCAGGACGGATTGCCCGTCGAGTACAGCGGGATCGCCGGAATACGATCTAACGGGAGAATCAAGACAGAAAAGAAGATTAACCTCCGACCTGCTGCACATGATACTATAGTATAATATAATATAATTTATTTATTTTCTGCTGACCTGAACATCATACATGCCAGAGTATGAAAATAAATCGTCATTTAATATGCACTTGCTTGTGACTCTCTACAAAAATAAGTTTACTATTCAAACAAGAACTTTTTTCTGACTTGAATGACGCACGCAGTGAAGAAACATTAACACGTTGTTTATGTGCACAAAGAGTTAACCACTCGATTCTTTCGCTTATCTTTTCCTAAAGACTGTAGTGATTCACTCCTTCTCTTCCAAAAAATAAGCACTATTTCGTTGCCTGTCTTAATATTTATTTTCTCATCACTCCTACATAGTAAAGTGAATGATTACAACTGCAATTTAACTTCTACGTGCTTGGAGATTATTCATTTGCAGACTGTCCCAGTGATGTTCTGTTTCTGTTGATGCGATGAATGCATGCAAAATGTATTTTCGCGCTGTATACTCATAATATTCCGTTCTTTCAGGTTCTTCGATCTTTACTGTTCTTACCTGCGACACGTTGGACTTCCTACTTTACTGAAATTGTATAGCTTGCAGTAATTCAATAATGTTTAGATAACTGTTGATCACGACATGTACTGATGAAATGTTTTATAACTTGTTATTAGAAGGAGATTGCTCCATGCTTTACGTTATCTTTGTTTCAGTATTTACCCGATTCTAGCCTGTATTGTAACAGTTATCATCAATACTGAAAATATCATTTGAGTAAAATTCTACTGGTAATATTGAATGGAGCAACAATTAGAATTATCCTTCAGCTGCAAGTACTACCAAGTGTCATATTTTCTAATATCTGACATTGTACTACTGCTGCAATGATATGTGTCTTGCTTTTTTAATGTATTTTTCTTTAATTTTAGTGCACTTCCATTGGAAGCGATCTCGGGAGTTCGCATTATCGTTTCCGTATCCTCAAACAACAAGAATCCTCTCGAGGTAAATATTTCCAACCATGATTTGTTTTCTTAGCTAAATTTTTATTTATAATTTGGTTAAAAGCAAAAAAAATTTATGCAATGTGTGCTGTCAGTTGCCCAACCACATGTGAAAATTTGTGGACTCATTTTACAAATGGTCTGTTAAACATTTTTACCAATATATCTACATATTTTAATATTGTGTTAATTCTGTCACAACGCAGTGTTGTTTTAATAAATGATACCGTTTTTACCGGATTTTCGTTAGTTCAGTGTTTCGTTTCTTTTTACGTGCTAATTGAATCAGGTAATGCAGTTTTTAAATTCAGATTGGACAAACAGAAACAGTTATTGGTAGTGTCAATCCAGTTTTTACTCATCGTTGTTACGTTTCATATCGTTTTGAAAATTCTCAAAAACTCTATTTAGCAGTGTTAGTCTTTTGTGTTGAATCTTTATGTTTCAATAAACTCATTTTACTTATGGTTTTCTTATCAAATTTTATCTTTCGCTTCGATCCACATTGATAATGGACATTTTAATTTTATAGCCATCAGGTGAATGGAGATAGTGGCAAATTTACTGGCCTTATCGCCAAAGTAGAATGTTTTCTGGGAGAAGTACTGTCGCGTGGTGGTTCCATCGAATTGCCGTTGTTTCCAAATGAAGGTGAATTATAGAAAGCAACAAATTTCTCGCTTCCAAAGTTTTCTCGTATTTTAAACAACATTGGATATTCCATTCAAATGACACATGCGAAATTCTGGTATTTAAAAGAATATAATACATGCGTTTAATGTTTTAATAGGAGTTTCATTTTCCTTTGACAGGATATTAGGGCTTCTTACATTTATTGATTGCAGGAGTTTCTTCCCTACACCTGGAAGCTCACGAAGCAAAATTATCTAGCCAGTCTGTTAATTTACAGTTTAAAAGCCATGGTTTACGTTCACCATCGAGTTGTCCGCTTAATGCATATTTTGTGATGTGTTTAGTTCCAGAAGGCGCGGCTAGTTTATTACTTTATAAAAGTGAAGCAATTGCTGATAAAAATCCTTTGTGGAAGCCTTTCCTTGTACCCGTTTCTCACTTTTCATTTGCCTCGGTCAGTTGTTCGCTTGAAATCGAAGTTTATAATTATAATGTTAATCGCAAGTAAGTTTTTGATATCAAATCTGTAGAAATACAGTGTATTGCAAGATTTCTCACATTATAAAAAAAGCATAAGATTGGGCTTGGTCAATTATTTTGGTTTTGAACTTTTATCCTCTCATAGTTCTCTGTATTAGTATCTGAAGATAATATAGAATTAAACGATTTTTATAATTCAATATTCATGTCCAATTTGGTTCCGAAAAAAAGACTTTTTGTTAAGTTTTATAAAATAACTCTACTATTTGTTTGCATTTTTAATCAGTGAATAGTGTAAATTTTTGATATTGAAACTAGTATGGGATTGAAAAGACTATTCCCAATCAAGTCATGAAAAATATGCTACGATTTTTTGGTCATTTTTTAGAGATGATCTCATCGGTAAATGCACAACATCATTCGATCAGCTTTTGAGAGGAGTTGGTGCTCTGAACGCTTATAAAGTAGCTATTTTGATTTTTTTTCAATTTGTGAGATTTTCGTCACCATCTAATATTTTAAATTTGAAAAATTTTCTAGCTTTCAAGTCTTGATGGAAAAAAAAAAGGGAGTGCATCCATTGAGTTGGCAAATATTCTTCATGTTGCATCATCTTCATTTATTGACTTCCTAAAAGCTGGGTAATTTTTTTGTCAACTTGCCATCATTATATTTTCTCATCATTGCTTGATATTATTTTTGACAGATTTCATATCATGAATATGCAGGATTCATATTGGCTCTTATGTTTTTAGAACGCAAATTCATTTCTCGGTTGCAGTTGATTTTACGGCTTCAAATGGAAATCCACTTGATTGCTCATCATTACATTATATTCATCCGCACAAGTCCTGATTTTTTTATCGATTCACTTTATTAGCTTTATTTTCACTTAACTAGTTTCTTTTCAAATTGTGATTACTCAATCGATGTAACTAGGACGTTTTGTTAGGAAAAAGATTATTGGGTATTCTGGCATGGTTTTGTAGACCTGATGTTTTAGATGCAACCCTTACATGACAGCGCTGAATGCAGTTACATCTGTTATCAACAAATATAATAAACATGGGCGAATTGCTGCGCTCGGTTTCGGTGCACAAACACCTCCAGATTACAAAGTTTCACATCTCTTTTTTCTCGTAATATTTTAATCTATGAATTTAATGCTGATTTTATTGATGTTTTTCAAGTTCAGTGTTATCATAAATTCATTGTAGAATGGTGATGACAAAGACCCACATGTTGATGGCATTGATGGTGTATTAAATGCATATCGTTCAACTTTGCTATCTATCCGACCATACGCCCCAACAGATTTTTCAGAAGTTATATATCACACTTATAAGTATATTTTCTTAGATTTTAAGAATTTCCTACATTTTCGATGATTAAGAATGGTTTTTAATTTTTTTTCATTTATTATATTTTGTGATTTAAATCTTAGATTTGGTGCAGCTGTACAGCGCCAGGGTAAAAGTGACCATTACTTCGTATTACTCATTGTAACAGATGGATGCGTGACAAATCCGGAACGAACTGTAAATGCGATTATAGATTGTTCACATTTGCCTATATCTATTGTCATCGTTGGTGTCGGTAATCAAGACTTTTCGCCAATGCAGAATCTTTTGTCTCCTTTACTCAAATCTTCTGAAGGTCATCTTTTACAGCGTGAAATCATTACTTTTGTTCCTTATATTGCATCTATGACTAGTGATGAACTAGTTGCAAAACTGTTACGTAATATACCTCGACAATTTTTAACTTGGGCCCTAATGCATGGCAGGTTGGCACCATCAAGACAATTTTCCGGTCAAATTCTCTAATAGTGGATTCTGGTTTCATAATTTTCATAGAATTTTTCCATTGTTGTTTTTGTCTGTACTACTTTTTCATCTTTATTTTAAAATTGGAAATCTAATTCCACATTTCTAAAAGACCAAGATATATGAGTTCGGGATAATTTTACTATTATTTTTTAGACTGTGTTCCCATTGTTTTTGAGTGTAAGATTGATAACTTCAGCTTATTCAGTATTTTATATTGTAAGTAGCTTAAAAGAAATTTTAAAATATATCAACATTTTTTCAGACTCGATAACATTCGTTTCAGATTTATATCATTCGTCATATTTGTGGTTTATTTACTATTTTTAAAGTATTTGTGAGAAATATGCGTGCAAATTAGTTGTAATCGTGTAGGTAGTTCTCTAAAACCATATAACAGTTCGAGAGTGGAAATTCCATGTTCGTTATGAAAAATAAATTTTTATGCTAATATGCACTAGTTGCAAGCTTTGGAATTGTTTTTGTGATTTGAAGTTGCAGATAAAACATTTTGATCAGTACAAGTAATTTGTGGATGCATCATCTAAGCTGTGCGCTGGAGGTAAGTCAAGATCCACTGTTGGCGGGGGCATGTAAGATCGAGTGACTACTGAAGGTGCTATACTTCCTGGAAAATATTTTGTACTTGTGTTTTAATTCAGTCATTTTTTAGATATCTTTTGCGTTTTGAACGAAAACATACGACTTTACAAGTTTTTCAACTCCCTGTAGATTCTTTTTGCATTTGTCGATTATTACATGAAAGTTAACAAACCTGACATGGACATAATTCTTTGTTCATCTTCAAACGCTTCTCTATCCTTGAGTTTTTTTCTTCGATGTGATATTCCATATCGGACTAATGCCATTAAGCATATACTCGTGAGCAAAATTGTCATTATTATGGCTGAAGAGTGTGACTGCTTCATATGTTGATTATATAGTGACAATAATCATTAGAACTGTACATGTAATTATTGAAGTTGGTCCTATGCTTGACAAACTTGCTAATGTAAGTTAGGCTGAATATGAAAAAGAGTAGTACTTTGCCAACAAAAATAAGGTCAGGAAGAAATAAGTGTTATCAACTACTATTTTTTAGTCTGAAGTAGGAACTAACCTAAAATGATCCAACCGACTAATGACAAAGCACTGCCAGTTAAAGGTAGAGGCATATCATTACTCTCGCAATAATCAGGGGCTCGCAATAAAGTGCCTACTGGAGGGCAACCATTGACATTACCAACGCAAGCAGCAACACATCCGGGTTTGTCAATATCTATGTCTACTTCTTGTCGAAGGTATGTTCTGAACCATTCTAGAGTAGAGTCGCATAGCCATGGATTACCGCATACATACATGACGCGTCTCTCGTTCGGTTGCAGTTGAAATGAATTAATGAAGATATTTTCTGGTAGCGTTTGGATTTGATTGAAACTAGAACTCGTTTTTGTCAGGAGGGCAACTTTATTTTTATAAGCATAATCAAACAAGGCTTTTGCTATCAATATTCTAGAATTATTTCCACTATAAAACCAGAGCTTTTTAAGATATTACTGACCTAATATCAAGATGGTTCATGTTTGGAAGATTAGCAAAAGCCAGTGGTTCACAAGTTTCAATACGATTGCCTCCTAGATTGACTGAATAGAGCTCATTTAATCCTTTGAAATAGTCAGAATGTATGCTATAAATAAGAAATAAAAGTTTGATTTCCAAATTACTCAGCAGCATCGTAAAAAATTGTTATTTCTTCAAGTTTAATCACACTAACGCGTTGGTTAAATTCCGAGATGCAAGTTTGCTGGCGGATGAAATTTGAATTGTTTCACTCAATTCAAATGAAGCCAAAAAAGCTAATTGAAAAGTAGTTTTCTTTCATATGAATCATGTTTAAAAACATGCTAACTTTTGAAACGTTTTGAGCTTACACTGAGAGGCGATTTTTGTTTAGAACAATTGCTTGAATATTTGGTGCTTTTTGAAACGCGCCTTGCTCGATTATATCAACAGCTGCTTCCGACATTTCTAATCGTATTAATTTGGGTATATGCTACAAAAGAATTCAAACTAGAACCACTTCAGAAGTACGGGAAGACAAATACATTTTAGAAATTTGGGTCTTAATTCAGGATTTTAAGTGAGTAATAGAATGTACATTACGGTTAAAAGTAAATTCGAACAGTTTCGATCAAAACAGCAAAAAATGGAACAAGATGACCATGAAGTGAGGTTGACCAGTGGTCAGCAAAAAAAATCAATGAAAAGGAGAGTAAATAGCACGATGCACATTCTATAATTGTAATAATGGCCTATCAAGTAAATAAACAATGATTTAGAGCAAAAGTGGCTGGCAACGTAATGAGATTATCAAGCTTTCTCTACTACTGCAGATAGTACTTATTGATTACCTGGAGAGCATTCGATGGTATTATGGCAATCGGAGTTTCACCAATGCCCAAAGTAAGCAATTGTGGCACAAATGTGAACATTTCAGGCTGCCAAGATGGAAATTTGTTACCCGTAAGGTACAAATACTGTAGATTTGGAATTCCTTGAAAAGCTTGTGGAATAATTTGGGATATTCCATTAAATTCGAGAGAAAGTGAGTTGAGATTTGGGAAATCTAGAGCACCAACAGGAACTTCATTGATGAGATTTAAACCCAAGTTTAGATTAATTAGTGTTTGACGTTGTGCAACTAATGAAGCAAATGGAATAGTACTTAATGAATTAGTTTCCAAGCTTAGTTGCTGCAAAGAACTCAACGGCCCAAAAATTGAAGATTCACCAAAAGTTTCATCCGTAAGTCGATTACCAGCTAATTCTAATTTTAGCAGTTTATCTCGGGATTCGTAATTCATAAACGAATTAGCTTGTAGACGAATAATGCGATTTCGATTGAGATACAATTTTCTGAGATTGGTGAGATGTGGAATGCCAGTTACAGGTATTGAATTCAGTTGATTATCAGAAAGGTCTAAATCCGTCAGTCTGTGCAGACTTAACCCAGCAAATGCATTTTCATTTATCTGATTTAAATTGCATCGATTCACAACTAATCGGAAAATTGTGAAATTTTGAAATATATTAGCGGGAAGAACTGGAATTACAGTATCAATAATATGCAGTGAGTCAATCTGAAATTGTGAGTATACAAATACCAATTTTAATAAAGTAGATGCTTGAATTTCTAAATTTCTTGAAAATATGCATATCGCTTCAAGACATTTTTGCCAATAAAGATGTAAGTTCACTTTGTATAAATAAATATAAAATTTTCGCTTATTAACTGCTAGCAAACTTTTCGCATAAATGTGATATATGTCTTATATATTATCGAGAAACGCAAATGAATTACCGTAACAGTCTGCGCTTGCGATATCGCAGCCAGTATAGCGGATAACGTTGAAGCATTTTCGCAAATTATTGAAATAGGTTCATGGATCGATGGAGCACAACGGCAAGGTGGTTGCAGTGGTGGACACTGAGACAGTAAACTTTGACAAATACTTAAAAAATAAGCAATCACGATAAGTAATCGTCGCTGGGAGTAGTCAAAATAATTGTAACACATGTTGTGCACAACAATAATGAATAATAGCACGAGGCAACGAATGGTGAAACCGATTATCAGGACAAAATTACCTGATTACAATTCATGCAGCCTATCAATCTCAACAAAATTGTACTACAGTAATCGGATGAGAATACAAAAACTTTGGCAACCACTTCTACACAATTCTTGTGTCCTTCCCCGACTCAACTTGCCTTGCTCAAACATTCACCTCTCCCAACATTAGTGTGACAACAACTAGCGCAAACAGTCAGTAAGTAGTTAGTGAGTGAAGTGTTGAGAGACTGTAACACACCTGTCGTTGATAGCAACTAGCTCTACTGCATATACGAACTACAAAATACAAATTTCCAGCTTTGATTTATTCTTCCCCACACCAGACCGCTCTTTTTTTGCTTCACTTCACTTTCCTCTTCCATTTACTAAAATGAGAGAAATGAAAAGAATTCTTTAAGTAAACAGACTGCTCACCTTAGCATTGATTTGTTGCAAGCATAAACTGCAGATTTGTGACTGAATTACTCCAGCATATATACAGATATATCTCGCATCAATGGCGATAACCATCTCCAGCTTATCCATTTCTTTGTAAGTGTTTCATTCTTTTACATTCACCTAGCCAAACATATATATGTAAACACATACCACTGACACAACCTCTGTTGGATTGGGCGTCAACTACCCATTTCATTTCTTTGCACCATTTAAAACTAAACTTTCCAGTTTTAGAACAACACAATAAAACAAGAACACACCATTTCAACTTACACAAGTACCTCACAACCTCTACATCCTCACCGCCACCACTAGTTAAATGATTGAGCAGTCCCGCACCTTAGTTCAAGATGCTTGGAACACTTGTGCATTACCTTTTTGGAGAATCAATGTGAATGTCAATCACTACCGAATTTATGCAGCCATATGCAATGAAAAAAACAACAAAAACAAGACTACTTCGCACTTCATGACTACCATATAGTTTCTTGTAAGAAACAATTACAGCCCTACCCGTAACTGTGATGTAAAAACCCAATACCACGTATCGATAACCTGAACATTAATTAGTTATTCAATTCTTCTTGCTGTTCATTTGTTACACTGACCAATTCTTTGAATTTTTTTGAAAATTTTTTTTCATACGCAAAGAAAAGAAAAACAATGACCGAATATAATGAAGGAATGACGTCAAATTTTCACTGCAAAATGCATTAAATCAACGGAAATAACAGAATTGGAATTTTCTGGTGTTATTATCCTTCTACTGATCTACGACATCACATATACTCAATACGTTTAAATGTAGTATGAATGAAAAGAATGATTTATATTGCTACAATCAAAATGAACGAGGATTAAAAAAAAAAACATTTTGCTCGTAAGAAAAAAGATACTGAAATCACATTTATCAAAATATGAAATCTCTGAACTCATAAAACGATTTCACAAACAGGCAACAAAAAACTTAGATGTTACATGTACTTTCAAATGCAGGATGAATTGCAATGTGTTATTAAAAGCTTCAAAACTATCTAAAAAACATATTTTACAAGAAAAAGCAACTTGATAGAACACTTTTAGCGACTTTTTCGAACGCCAATAAGACAGACTATTAAGCCAATTTAATAAAAGTGGGTGAGAATAGCCCAATGGTCACTTGGAAAACATAAAGAGCTCCGGATTCTACGCTGTCCCTCAAAGGAAAAATTCACGTTCGAAAACGCACCACCACTGAAATGAACAGAAAAAATTAACAGTAAATCATTTTCAGAGCTGTCTCCAATGCTCGATATCTACAGATTGAATAAATGTTAGCTTGCACTAATAATGAATGTCAGTTACGTTCACAAAGCAAAAAGTATGGTTGTTTTGTAACAAAAGAAAAAAAACCCACAAGAACAACAACAAAGAGCATTAAGAGGCAATAGGTTCATACAAACCTTTTGAAGATAATACGATCAAAGCGATGACGAGCTGAGCCAGAAAATTTGTTGTCATTCAAAAGGGTGTCCCAAGTAAACTTGTACGTTTTATTTGACCCGGCTTCAATCCATGCATCACTGAACCCCGATGGAAGTGTAGGCATCTACAGTTCAAGGAATATAAACATCAAATAAATACTTCCCTCCTGTATGCTTTAAATCTATTTGAAGGCATGGAAATAATGAGCAAGAGATCCTAAAAGCTTGAAGGAAAGCATATTTGAGTTATAACAATCCTCAATGACTCTCATTCATTTGAAACAACGTAATCACCTCTGCATCCCGAATATTTAGGTCACCACCAAAAATCATAACAGTTCTGCCATCATCCAATTGTTGTAATTCTTTGAAACATGTGTTAATTTGAGAAATTCTTGCTTCAAAAGCATTTTTAGTGCTTTCCAAATGAGTATTCAACAGTATCACTCTATGTCCAGAAATAGAAGCCTTGAAAAGTAAGTGTAAGAAAATGAATTATAATAAATCTCTCACGTATATTTTACTAACTACTCATCGAAAAAATCAGGAAATAAGAACAATGAGAAAAAACGAGCACTTTCTCCTTCGCATTATTTATATGAAAGAATAGTTATTTCATATTAGCATCAAAAAAATTGGTACAAACTTAGTATAACGTTCCCAAAAACTCAAAAATCGAAACTTATCTTCAATATCGTTAGTAGTAGCAATCAAAAAACAAAAAATTACCTCAACAAGTTGCATTGCTCGTCCCATATTCGTTGTAGGGTATGGGATAACTTTATGATAAACCAAATTGATAAACGGTTTTAGAAGAACAACCGTGAAATATGGCTGATCTGGACTTGCTACTAATATACTATATTCGCCACCCAAATTCTTCTTAATTTGAGTTACCAAATTTGATGTCATTTCTTGCAAGAAAACAACATCAGGAGCGGTGCTTCAAATCACATATTTTCATTGCAAATAACCTGTTACATTCATTTACACAAACTTTTTTTTAATCCTAAAATAACAGAAACTACTCAATTACTTTGTAGAATATATTAAGATGAATAGATTGAAAATGACTGAAATTTCGACGACTTCACTAAAAGAACTTCTATGAAGTAGCAATTAGAAACCATTCAACTAAATTTCACAATGTTAATTAAATGTGCTAAGATTTTCTTCGACGCATATTTTTTTTAAAACTTAGTACTATCAAATCGTACTTTGTGAATTTTTTAAAATAAGTAAAAGATAAACATTGATGATGACAGTGCAACATATATACTTCGATATAGTGTAGCAAATAGCAATGAAACGAGAAGAAAGATTTTTGTCATCAATACCATCAATATTCCACGACATGACAGAAAGTACAAAATTTCTGACTGGAGTATTTGGATCGGAGTTGTGGGTAGTCTTCAGTGTTACAGAATCAGTGATATCGTCTGCTACACATGAGAAAAAATGGTCCACTGCTGGCTGGAAAGCATAGAATACTTTAATTGATGTTTGTGTGAAAAAGAAAGGATTAATCAAATCAGCACTGCTAAAAAATTGTCAAATATTAAAAATAACACTGAATTCAATATTATGAACTACTATTCTCCTCAAACACTCATGAACAAAACTTTCTACAAAATTCGCTTTGCTTAATATAGAATTGCCCATATCATTTCCTACTTGCCTTGAGTTCCCAGTTGAAATCCTGCAAGAAGAAATGAGCGCATGCTTCATTGGTCTCCGTAATTTCAATAAATTTCCGCATCGCCTCTTCACATTCTGTATTTGTTTTTTCCTATAAAGGTAAAAATCAATTATTTACGGACATAAAATACACTCAAGAAGTAGTGCTATCAAAATATTTGACACACTCTTACTTCGGCTGTTACAATTTTTTTACACTTGCACAGATATTGAATATTTTTAACGATCCAAAAATAAATTTCTGCCATGCAAATTTACTTTTGGATCTCTAATTACTAGAGTAAAGTCTTCAGTAAACTGTAACAACTTTCTTTTTATCGATATACTTTATTAGTTCATGCGAAAGTGTCAGACTTTTGTAAAAAATAACCGCGCTTTTAGCCGAGTTTTTATGCCAGCAAACAAAAAAAAGACAAGATATTGGGTATAACATAAATTTTTATCTATGATGTAAATTTTTATTTTTGCTTATGTAAGTATTAAATGCAGGAAAAGAAAGCAAAAATATAACGTTAATAGTTATAAAATTAGGCATGGGAAATTTACATGACTGGTTGATTTTTCTATTTCCTTTGAGTCATCTGAATTAGAGCCAGCTTCAGCCATTGTCGAGTTCCAGTGTAAATCAAGAAGCGCAGCAACTAAAATGTATTAAATGATCAAAAGGCCCATTAAAGAAACTACTTTTCCAGTAAACTATAAAATATTATATAATGAAACCAGGATACAATGGAATTTCAACAGATTCCAGATGGACACACCTAAAAACATGTAGCAGTCTAATTTTTGACAAACTGTCAGTTTACAACGTAATGACCAAACGTTAGCTGACTTAAGGTGCATCAAAAGCATATTAGAAACAACAACTGAAACCAAATAGGAAACAAGGAAAACTTATGGTAAAACTTACTAGTGTGCAGTTATTTCATTTTTGCTAATTGTTAAAGAAATTATGAGGAAGTCATTTGATAGTAAAATTGATTACTGCGAATAATGTAATGATAATATTTGAAATCGAAACTTAATAATATATGATTAAAATTGATCGGGAAGCCAGTTTTTAACTGAGATATAACAGTTCTTTGTTACCCCTTCGTCTAATGCTTGTTAGATTGTCCTCAAAAGGCTCCACTACTTAATACCATCCGCCGTAATCAATTTGCATTAAGTAATTACTGTTTTAATTAAAAAACTAAGGATTTTAGCTGCAAAAAAAAGGCGACATCACGAAGCATTTTTAGCCCAATGAACTGATAAAATGCAAATTGTTTTGCGTCAATCTACTGAACTCTGCGAACACAGCTTTGACGAAACGAACTCCACCATCAGTCACCGCCAAATTTAGAGCCATATTGTTCTAATGGATATGAGGTGAGATCTTATTTTTGGCTAATCAAATACCAACCTAAGGAAATAGTATTGTGAAGGGATTAATAGAAATTGCTTTCAAATTTGTGAACTTCTCAGGAGAACTGGGGTGTTATGCGTAAATTATGTAAGTAGGTAAAAGTAATATTTATTAAAGATAGCTCACAGCTTGATCCAAGCTTACACGACCGTTATGATTAAATATTTAAAACTTTTTTGAACTTCAGTGCAATTTTCATCTCACATCTTTTGAACAGGTCACTTTCTATTTGTTCTCTTTTGTACTTACATTTTTTGCACCTTTACTAATGAGAAGCTACTTTTTTTTATACATTTGAAATTTTTGAATATTTTGGCGTGAAGAGTTGCCAGTTTATTTAAATTGTAATTGTGAAATTGAGTAACTCAATGCTAAATTCTTTAATTATATATTTTTCTGCATAAAAATTACTCATCTAATTAATACTATGTGCATGTAAACCAAGTTCTAGCTCATTTCATTGTTGGCGAGACTAGAATTGAAACTGTCTAAGCCTTATCCACAACAAGGCTAGCCACGTTAATGAACTTTGAAATTCAAAATTATGGTATTGATTGGCACTCGGCCTCAAATCCAATGGTTAGGATTCTTGCATTTTTTTTTTGTAATATTTATTGCTGATAAAAAAGATGTATTTAATTCGTTTGTAGGTGCTGGTTTGAGTTGAAACGAAAATTTTCAACCTCGCCAAAAGTAGGAAATATCACACAATTTTACCTTGACCTTATGAAAAGAGGTCTTGTTTCTGCATCTCACCCCCCTAAATTATCTGATAATTTCGATGTACTGAAAACTCTTCCTGATGTTGTATACGCAGGTCAGGTAATTTTTTGCGGACGTATTTCGTTCTCATTTATGAAATGTAGCAAATTTATCATGAAATAAAAATTAATAGATAAATTTATCATGAACAAATTCAATGATCCTGGTTGCTTTAGGGTCTATGGAAAATGTTTTTATTTTTTCAGGATTCGATCCAACCGCGGAAAGCCTTCATATTGGTCATTTGTTAATATTAACTAATTTATTTCGATCAACTTTGTACGGATGTCATGCGATCGCTTTAATTGGTCGATCTACTGCTCGAATTGGCGACCCAAGTGGTCATGACAAAGGTTTTCTAAAGCAGTAGCATTTTTAAATTTTACGTATGGTGTTCACTAGAATACAACCGATCTATTGCTTGACAAAATTTTAGACCGAGTGATCGTTTCAAGTCAGCTGGTCGACCAGTATGCAAGTAAAATTAATTCTCAGTTGATCAAATTATTCAAAAATTTTACTGAAGACGAAGGTGATATCAAAAGGCTATCAGTCATGGATAATTTCAGATGGCATATGAATGTATGAATTTCAAAATAACAACATTAGCCAATGTTCTCCGTTTCATATTCGACCCAATTACATGATTTCAAAATTGTCTTTCGTGAAATTTTTTTGTATTTATAACTGCTACAGTTGTGACATTTTATTCTCGCGCACTTGTAAAATTTTTTTTTAATATTACAAGCTTCATTGAGCCTTATATTTTGAAATCTAAGTTTAGTTAATACCATACATTTTTTTCAGATGAGTTCGATTCAGTTTTTGGAACTCTGTCGAGATTTTCGAGTAAGTGATATGCTTAGGCTTGGGATGGTCAAATCACGTATACGAAATGGGTCAGGCCTATCTTGTACGGAATTTTTATATCAAGTATTACAGTCATATGATTGGTATAGACTTTTGTGTGAATACGATTGCCATTTTCAGGTAAAATTGGACATCTACAAATATCTAAAAATAAAATCTAACATTCTTAGAAAGTTTGAAATTAACAGTACTAGATTTCCAGTTTTTTTGAAAAAAAAGTTTTCAGAAAAAAATAGATTAATAATAAGAAAAAAGCGCAATTGCAGTCTCTTTGTCTTTGCTATAAATCTTGATTAGAATCATACCATTTCACTCGTAGAGTTTTTTTTAGATGGGTGGGAATGATCAACTTGGCCATTTAAATGCAGGGTACGATTATATTAAGAAAAAAACTGGGAGATTGTGCGTTGGAATTTGTCTGCCCTTGCTGACTGATGCTCGAGGAAAAAAACTTAGTAAGACTTCAAAAGAAAGTAATAACATTTGGCTAGATGAACAAAAAACATCACCGTTCACGTTCTATCAATACTTTCATCAGAAAGCAGATTCAGTAATAATTCCACTGCTGAGGTACTTGAATCATCATATTCAATTTATTTGTTGTTTCCCAGTTGATCATTATTAATTGCGTGTTTAGTAAACTAGGTTGACTTGAAAACAAAAGCAATATGAGCTTTCCATGTAGCTGAAAGTTGAGCGAACAAATTTACAATTTGGTGATTAATGAGATTGCAACTCTAATTTTTGGATTATGAAATTAAATTGTTGCTGAAAAGAAGAAACTTTGTCGTTTTATAGGTATTTTTCTTTGCGGACAATGGAAGAGATAGAGGAAATAGAACATGAGCATGCGGCGAATTTAGGGAAGTGGATTGCTCAGAAGAAGTTAGCCGAAGATATGACTAAACTTGTTCATGGAAGAGATGGCTTAAAAAGGGCAGAAAGCTGTTCGGAGATACTTTTTCATGGTACATTCATGGCATTCAAACAAAACTAAGTAAACAAGTACTCAAGATAATAGTTTCAGGGTCTCTTCATGAGTTAGGCAATATGTCGACTTCATCAATAGAAGAGCAGTTTGGAAGTGCACTTGTGCAGCAGCTTTCTCGATCCAGTTTTTCGACAGTGGGTGAATTGGCAAGGGAAGTGCATGCTGGGGAAGGATCTAGTGATAATAAAATGAAAGCAGGAGCTCTAAAACTGAATGGATCGCGATTTACAGATCCTGATGAAACGATAGATTTCAACAAAATTTGTTTCAAGAACAATGATATCACACTTGTTTGCTGGGGCAAGCGAAAGTATCATCTAGTTAGATGGACTGATTAATAAAAATTTATTTTTTTGTATGACAGCCTTTGATCTTTAGTGTTCTCCCACTTCTTACTGCACAAAACAAGCGAAATATGTGCATCTGTAAAGCAAAATAGAATTTATGCAACTAATTAGTGGAGATGTATTGCGTGTTTCACAATATTAATCTTTAATTGTGGATAAATCTTCACATACCTTCATTGCTCAAGTAGTAACCGAGAATATGCAATTCCTACAAATGAATGAGAATTCAGAAGTACTTGAGTTTGTTGGCTGTTTGCGAGAAGAGGATCGAAACTCATAAAAATATTGAAGTTGACATAGACAGGATGAGTCTGACGCGATATTAAATTGAGCTGGTAAGAGACTTATAAGGAGGGCGTTTTGCAGTGAGAGTTGTTCTTTGTCAAAAATAATATGTGGTATTGGAATTGATTTTGCTCTGATAACGCAAGCAAGGTATTCGTGCAACAAGGTGTTCATTAGGAAGTATCAGAATAACAAGTCTTTAGCGATTACATAAAGTTAATGCCGAGTGAAGTAATCTAAAGCATCTGAAGATTAGTTTATGTAGCTATTCTCTTATTGCAATGATATCAGGTGCGACGAGTTTTGGTACGCTTTCGTGAAGAGAAACGAAACAAAAACATTTTGCTTTGTCATTATTTGAAATGATATAACTGGTTGAAATATTCATCTACTGTATGAATCAGTATGGTAACCTAATTTATGAAATCACCAATACAAAAATTTAAAAACATCACGTAAAAGAGAATTGCACGAGTTCAATAACCCTGCACACATGTGTGTCCGAATTTTGGCGTGCGAATTTTGAGTCCCAAATAATTCAATCTTAAAAAGGGTGGGAAAAAATTATGGCACAATGACTTGCGGGATTTCATTCCTGAAAGTAGCTTCTCAGTGTTTATTAGATTGGTAAGGCGGTGGCATTGCAGTTTAAATTATGGAATTATAGCAGAAATTAATCAGTATTACTTTTGGTTGTACTGCATCTTGTTATTAATGCAAATTATTGCTTGTTACTCGTTAACTTTTATTGGCATTGTTGCTAATTAAGCAGTTATTCACAAGCATGGAGAAAACGTGCATCTCTGAATAGCACAAAAACATGAATTAACCTTGCAAATAGGTACATAACTATTTTAAAACCGAAATTTGAGTATATATTTGATATAGTTTGTCATTTAACAATTCAAAAATATGCATTACAGTGGTAGTTTTTGGATATGGCTGGAAAAAGTAAGGCGGATGCAATGCTGCATTATATGCCCGAAATTATTTGGCATGATCGAGATTCTTTGCTTTCTGTGGATTTTCAGATGAAACATGATAATCATGGATTTTACAAGGTATGATTGCTTTGCAGCTAATTACTATAATTCGTCTTGGTAACTTTCAGTTCTTCCCATTTCTATTTCAGTTCTAGCCAGCATAGGAGCACGCATTTTTCTTGAAATAAAACTTTACACTTATTGTTGTGAGTTAGAAGGTTAATTACTCTTCAAACAGTCGTTGACATTCTTTCAACTTCTTTGAGAAATATTTAGCGAGACATTTGTTTTTATTGTCGTAACTACTTTATTAAAAAATTTTTGACTTCATTTCTATTCTCATTTATTGTTGATGGTATTTGTAGTTAGTAACAACTAGTTTACGACAAGAAGTTCGAATTTGGAAGGTAGATTTTAAAATGTTACCCATTGGAACTGAGGATCTTGGTGTACAGTTTGTCGCAAATTTGATCGGTCATCATACGACTGTCAACGTTGCACGATTTTCTCCAGATGGTAGTTTACAAAAACAATAGTACTGGACGTCTGGTCACATTTTAAAATGCTGAACACCCAATTTTCTCAAGTTTTTAAGAGCATCAAAAATCATTCTCTTCAAAAATTAAGGGAAATTACTTGTAAGTGGCGATTGTGATGGTTGCCTAATTATTTGGAAAATTGATTCTAAGCGTCCAAATTTTACCATCTCGCGATATGATGATTTTCCGCCGAATGTGGAAAATTGGATTAAATATAAAACTCCATTGAGGTAGGTAATAACTGCTCGAACTTTCCGTGTCATTTTCGTCGATAAGTGAGTTCAATAATCTATAATACTTTTGTGTCAGAGCACTTATCATTTATTCAATTTTTTTTATACGGTGCAGCTGATTGCTCTTCAACTCCCATGATTTTTTGACTGCACTTTTTTTAATAACTTTCTATTCGCTCAAGTTTTTGAACTTTTATGCTCATTTTTTTTGCATTTTGCTATAAATTCATTTGAAGACATGATAGCGACATCTGTTCGTTATGTTGGAGTCCTGATAGCCAGAACTTTGCCACCGCATCCAATGATGAATCTGTAGCCGTGTATGACGGAAATATTGGTAATGATTGTTTTTAATTGCAGAACTTGTATTCTTTCTTTATTCCTTTTTTTTGATTTCTGGAGCAATGCAAAAAAGTAAAATTTAAAATCCAGAAATTTTTAGTGGCTATTAGAAGTAAAAGTAATAAATGTATAATTTAGGTAAACGTTTATGGCATGTGAAATCGTATCGGCGTTTTCCGAACGGCATTGTATGGGATCCGCGTGGCAAGTATATTGTTACGATGTCTACTGATAGAAAACTAGATATTTTATGTGCGAAAACAGGAAATCGTTTAATCTGTATTCAGAATGTTAATCTGCCGAGAACAGTTATAGGAAAATCAATTTTAGGAGCCAGTGTGAGTAACAATTTAACTGATTCATTTTGATTCTCAGAAAGATATGAGAAATTTTTACTGGAAACTACTTTTCAGGATCACAAATTATTTCACGATGATCAGTTAATGTCTTTTTGTAGAATATCAGATTTTTCACCTGATGGCGAGCTGTTGGTTGCGCCATGTATGTTTTAAAAATATAGTTTTGATTATTACCGATAATAATGTAATACCAAAAATTTTCTCACATTTGTCAAAGAAAAATTAACGAGGAAGTTACTTTTTATTCATATTACATGCTTCCTTGACTGACTTTCTTGTAACAGTAATACTACAAGAATGTTGCTAATTATGGTTTTTTTGACATAATGATATTAATGGATGTTTTTTTCAGGTGGTGTACTAAATACAGATTCCTTGAATAGTTTTGGAACATATATATTCCGTCGATCAGATTTTTCCAATTGAGTTTTAACTCTTCTGTGATTTATTAAGATTAATTGCGTATTTACGTTTTGGATTCATTTTTTATTTTTTAAATATCCTATTGATGTTCTCATATTATGTCTTGAGCTTCAAAATTTAAAATTTCATTAAATTAATGGCAGCAGGAAAAACTCTGAGGCTCAAATTTAGAGAAATTTGGTTGCAATAAACTTTTTAACACAACGGAATGCTATGAAGTATAATTGACTTTAATAAAATCTGTCTGCGTTTTAGGGGTCGCCCAGTTGCATTTATACCATCTACGAAAGCTACTTTTCGGGTCTCTTTCAATCCAGTTTTTTACACGTTGCATAAGAATATAGAACTAAACTGTTTGCAGTGAGTTTTGTTTAAGGAATTTCATTCTTTAAACTGTTTCATCTACATTTCATGCGAAAAATAATTTAAGAGAAAGATGAAATACTTATTTCTTCGACAATATCAAAGTTTTGATATATTTTTAAGGCTTCCGTATCGCATGATGTGGGCTGTATTGACGAAAGATACCGTAACTATTTATGACAGCCAACTCTGCAGGTGCATCGCATGTGCCAGTAATCTGCAGTATGATACTCTAACCGACATCAAGTGGAGTGATGATGGAAGAGTGTTGATGATTTCTTCTTTAGAGGGTTACATAAGTTTTATGAGGTTACATATTTTTTGAACCATGCTTAGTATGCATGTATACGCAGCTTAACTATCATTTAGGTCAATTTTTTTAGTTTTTACATTCGTTAATTTCCAGGATATGCATCATTCTAGTAATTTAATTACATCTCGTGTGTTCTATATTTAGTTGAGTTTGATGTTATTTCACATCAGTCGATTAATATCTAGATTTGGTGAACTAGCTTTGGGGATGCAGTATGTTGATAATATACCTTCACCTCCTCCGTCGCCAATACTTATGACTCGAAAAAAAAGGAAAGAAGAAAGTCAGTAAATTAAGAGTTTTTATTATTTATTACTTAATTTAAACTTCAACAATTCAATTTTTCGTTTACAGAATTATTTATACGCGGCATTTTCGAACACCCTATTTATATTTTAAGCTACGAGCAAACTGAAAGATAAAAAACCATATTCTTCAAGTGTTCATCATGTGACAAATACAAGAGAAGGTTCCCCTCCCAATTCGCTTGTGAAAATTTTCAGACGGATGCAACAACAGAAAAACAATGAAAATAAAAGTGCTGAGTGAGTATACATTACAATTTCCTTTTTCAAATGATTGCTCTCATTATATCAGACGTACTGCTTAAAAGTGATGCGGTTGAACTAAAGGATTGCAAAACTGTATTTGGCATTTGTTTTAACTGTAGTTAGTGACATTAGAAATGCGTAAGCATGTTACAAAAAGAGAGATTCGCAGTATGCCTTATATACTTGGACGAGCATAATAATCTCAGAAAAAAGATGGACCTCCAGTAGTATAGGGGAGTGATATTAGCAAAACAGATAAAATTTTTGTGCTGTTGTAAAGCAACCATATAATTTTAGAGACGGTCGGAAGAATTCTGAAGATAACCTAGAAACTCTAAAGAATAAGCTTAAGAAGCGTGGGAAATTGGTGCAGTTGCCATCATAGTTTTGTCCGAAACAGGATCAGCTTTCATGTAATATTATTCATTGTAATTGTCTACAAAGTGGTTTTTTGTTTTCCATGTACTTTCAACTTACTCATCAGTTACATTGTTATCTCTATCTCGTTATGTTTGACGTGCTATCACAAAGTTACTGATTGAAGTTATTTCGGCTTTTTATCTCATATTTTCGAACTACATAAAGCTTAGAATATTATTCAGAGAAATTGATTAGCTGTGATTACAGAAATTGTGGTGCTCAAATTTTCTATCAGATTTCTTGTTATTAATTGTTCTGGTCTTTGATATAAAACCAAATGATCATATAATTTGGAGTTTGTGGGCATTTTTTTTTTGCTTTTCAGTGATGTAACTGTGAATCTCGTGTTTATTTACCAATTCCGTTATTATTATTATTATTATTGTATGAACTTTCTATGATATATCCAGATGAAATAATACATATTTAAGAGTGCTGCGTCTTAAAAGCCGCTGATCATATTTTGTGGTTTGTTTATGAGGGAAGTTTGTATTATAAAGGGACAAAATTTTGGAATGAGTTGCTGATGAATAATTTCAATATAAATGATTACATATCAGAAGTGATATGTAATCATTTATATTGAATCTAAGTGCTGAGTGAATATGGATAATATTATTCAAGCATCTCTCACTTACTGATTTTTTGCTCAAAAGTTGGTCATTCAATCTCATTAAGCCGTCATATTTCGGACTATGTCAGTGTTATTCATAAAAATATCATTTTTTCCTAATCTCTATTTGCTCAGTTCAGTATTTAATTTTGTGCTCCAGCTTATTGCTTCTCCTGCACCTCCTTGTTTGATACAGATTCTCTATAAGAAGTTCAATGTGAATGCGGTGGGCAGTCTTTTTCGGTGTTTCCTAACTGAAATTCTTCCAGTAGGGACAACTCGTTAATTTTTGATATATAAACAGTTGTTTCTAAGCAGTTCTATCCCTCAAAAAACTTCGAAACCAAAAAATAACTGAGGATGGTTTATTTGAATTTCTGGATATAAAATCAGGGGAAGTACTAGAACACCACTTTAATTCTGCATGATGATGACTGCCAGTTTTAAGTCTTGAGCTCAGTTACAAATAATTTTTTTGAGGGTTTGCAGTTATTTATGCATATAGATGAGATGAGAGATATAATGGAAATTTCGTACTTTACAACCATGATTTTCAAGAGAAGTATTTCCAGGCATGTGTGGGTTGATAAGTTTTGAATTCATTGGTGATATGCACTAAAATTTTTAAAATGATTAATCTTCGTTGATTTATTCATTTTTAAGTCTTTAAGTGATTTCTATGAAAATAAAAACTCGTTATAATAGCACTTACATTTTTTTGAATTACAAATATTAAAAATAATGAACTAAAAATAGAAAATTAAATACATTTTGAAGTTGCGAAAGAAAAATTACAATATTACGAGTGAAGTAATCGCAAAGTAATATTTAGCAGTGCGGCAGATCATTTTATTTTCTCTGCACAAAAAAATTAGCCTGATTTACAATTGCTAAAATGCCTAATTATAACGTAAGACAACAGAAAAGACAAATTTTTTTGTTGTAATAAGCAGAGAATGCTGCTGCGCGTTAGGTAGCTTATTGTTGCAATAGCAATAATTGCTTGTAACTTTCGAGTTCTTTTCATTTTTATATAAATAATTAATTTTGTAATTCACAAAAAAATTCTGCCAAAATACTTTATGTCATTTCAATTATTCAATTTGAAAAAATTCGTAACACGTTTTCTCATCATCAATAGTTATCTCCGTAATGCGTTTATTCCCTTGCTGATGTCGAAGAACTGCAAATAAAGCAAAACATGCAAAGAAAAAGCACTTCAAGAATTTTGAACGGGATATTTAAATAATCTGTGAGGTTTAAATAGATGACAATATTAATTATGGATTGTACAAGCTCACTGTCATCATATCACAAGTTTGGACGGTTATATTCATGTTATTCCTTATTGATATTGAGTGATTAAAAATTTCATATATTATACAAAAAATTACTTGCAAAGTATTTTTGGATATATTTGGCTTTTAAGATGAATTCATCCAAGTTCGAATATATTCAAATTCGAGATCTATCTAGTGAAACTTAGAAAAGAAATCATGACTGCAAAAGCATAGTTTAAAATAAAATTACTGTGGACGAAATAAAAAAGTCTAGCATTTCCCTGATTGCATTTGTTAACTCTATAAATGGGAAAGTGAGAGATGAACAACTGCAGAACCTCATTATTTGTGAATTCTCAAATTGTTGGAATGAGGAATGAGTTGTAGCTCATAAAACGCTAACTGACAGGTACTTTCAAACGGAATTTCAGATTTCAATCGATATACCTTCTGATGGCTGCGACAATATAAAATGCAATGTACAAGGAATATGAATTTCAGTTGCAAAAGTACTTCTAAGCATCGTTTCTACAGCTTAATGTTCAGTCATTCATCATAGTCTGCCATGATAATAACTTCAATTTTATGACGGTCAACATAATCCTTTGGTCTAGATCGATTAAAACCGATATAGAAAACTTCATAATAATAGTAATAATAATAATAATAATAATAATAATAATAAAGAGGTCCTTTTCTTTACTTTGATCATAATTGCTTTTCCAAAAATTAAAATATTTGCCCTTGGATTTCTAACTCATAGAAGAGATGAAATCTTAAGAATGTTACACTGATGAAACTCCTTCTGCTTGACAGCTTAGTGCATCTTAGAAATCAAATTTTCACATATTAGATCTCATCTTTCATAAAAATATCAATTGAAAAGCTATTAATTTCTTCTAATTTTTAAGCATTATTTCAGCTTAGTGTGGTGATATTTAGAACCTTTCGCGCATTACAATCTAGTAATTAATTAAAAACTCCGAAATTTATAAGCATTGTGTGTTTAAATTATTTCTAAAGTTCGAAGGAAGACTCTATGCTTCGGTCATTCAGGTTTTCTGAAAGTGAATATTGTCATTGACTGAAATTTATTATAATATTGTAAATTGAGATTTAGTTCCACAAAGGATGTTTCAGTAAAGGTAATGAATATGAGAGATTGACTAGAATTCGATCTATCAGCACATTTTAATATTTTTGTAATCACACAGTCATCAAAAATGTTTACTTTTAGGGCATTCATTCTCAAAATGTTGGAAGGAGACTTAATCATAAACTGTATTCTACCAATACTCTACTATATAATTTATGTTTATTTGAATTAACTCTCAGATAAGATGCAAAAAAAAATATTGTATTCTCAATCTTGGTAAAGTTTGTTCAAATTTAGTATAAAGTTATTATTACGCTTGATATTATTATTTTAAACAAGTATAAAAAACTGTTTCAGTCCCAACGTGCAGTGCTCAGATGAATAAATATCTCTGATCCTACTGTCAGTGATTCAGTTGTTGAATTTATCTTGCAGTTATTAAAAGTGCTTTAAAAAAGGTTACGTATGAAGCAATAAATATCTTCTATTTATGTGGAGCAAAAGTTCATCAATGCAAAAATTTTCAATCCATTACATTTATTATTGCTTCTCACTTCCGCTTATTCTAATTTTTGTTTCAAAAAAATTCTTGACAGTTCAGTTTTGCCATGAAGGAACCTTTAAATGTTTGATGAAAATTCACTATATTTTAATTCTTTCATTTTTCAAAACAGATTTGAAGTCCATCTTTTGTGTATGAACAGACTTTTAGTTGAAAATTACTGAATAAAGTTAATAGCGTAATTTTTTAACTGCCAAGAATAGTTTGAAAGAAAAAATATTCAAATATTAGACAAATTCTGGTTATTCAAAATCTGACTAATCTTTAATCATTCATTGTTAATTATTGTCAGTTGAATGTAAGGATCCAATGAGGATAGGGGCAGAAATAATACATTATTAAATTATGATTCAATAAACAGAGCTTATTTCTGAAATTCAGTTTAGGTTTCACTGCAATCTTCATCATTAAGCCATTGGAATGCTTTTTTAAATATAAAAAGATTTTTAACAATAAAATTCAAACTGACCAACTTTTCCTATACTTTTGTTGGATGTACCAGTATTCTTTGTCTCAGAATAATCAAAACTTTTATAGCAATTTTGATTTATTCAGAATAAAAATAGTTAATTTTATGTGACTCTATGATCTGTAGATAATAGCTCGGAATGCATGATGATTACTTTCTTTAATTAGGTGCTAACAAAGTCGCAATATAGAATCGCAAGTAAAAATCACTTACAATTTTTTTTTCTCTTAATTTTATCGTTCAACAAACTTTGCTAGGTATTTTTTAACAAAAGTTTGCTATTCATTAATGGTTACTGTAATTTTTGTGCCAAATAATACTATATTTCTAGTCATTGTTCAAGTTTCTTCTACTTGTTTTTAGAATTTAACAAACCTTTCATATATCTTTGAAAAATGCTTCACTATGACTTCATGATGATCTTCATTCTTTATTCTTACCGAGCATATTAACAATACTGCACTTACAGTTAATAATCGTAAACGAACACAACGATCAAAGATAAAATAAAACAAATCACTTAATTTGTATTTTTGCGCTTACTTCTCAATATACGATTATAATTTACAAATGCGCCGTAATATTCTAGAATTTGGAATTTTTATATAGTTTCTTTAGTAGATCCCTTGGGATTTTATAAAAATGATATACAAAAAATCATTTCTTAAATTTGTATTAAAGAGGTTTGTTTGCATGACTTCAGATTATAATTTAATTTGTTACTCTTTCAGTTAATCATATCTGGTCATTCATTATGCGTGTATAGTTCTTCAATGAACATAGTAATAATAGCATTGTACTATCTGATGCTAAGCACTGATTACATTGTAGAGGGAAAAAACATAAAATAATATTTTCTCTAAAAAAAGTGACTGCCAGAAAAAGCATATAGCAAAGAAAGTTAGTAGAAACATGATTGTTTGCTTGTTTGGCATCTGTAGTTTA